TTTTTTTTTTCAAATTTGCTCTATTTTTAACTTTTAAAACTAACTTTACTTGAATATAGATTATTATGCATGAAAATTCTTAATGTGTTTGTTTACTTGAAGATCTTGGAAAATTATTATTCAATGATGGCTCATTTACATTTTACTCGATTTTGTTAGAGCTTGTTTTTTCACCCTGTAGTTACAGGGTGAAGTCTTTTGAAGTTTTTCTTCCATTGTTTCTTCTTCACCCTTAAATTTGACTGGTTATCTGGGGGGCAGGTTCCACTTATCCTTTTTTTTTCAGGTATTAATTTGCTCTTTCTTTTTTGAAATTATAAAGAATCTGGATTTGATTTCATCCTTCTTTTTTGATCATATTATTTTCTCTTTAAGCAAGCTTCTTTTGTCTTTCCCATCAGGGGTCTGTTTTAAAGAAAATTTGGGTTCGTTAACAGACCTTCACAAAATATCTTTTCGTCAAAACGGACCCTTCACAAAATATTTTAACTTAACGGACCCTTCACAAAATAATTTATCTTTTAATTGAACCCTTCACAAATTTGTTTATCTTCATTATTGTTTTGTTAAAACTTCTGTCAATTTTTTAAAAAAAATATTATAAATTTAAGAATTGTTTAAGTTTACTTAATGCGTAACACATTAGAAGTGATACATAACTAAGTTGTGTTATTTAAAGTATGTCAATTGAAATTATTAAAAATGTGAGTGATTTTGTTTCCATTATTCGTCCGAAATGAGTATTCTGCGTAGAAACTCCTTGGAAATAAAAAAAAGTCTCCAAGGAGTACTTGGAACTACTTAAATTTCCAATTTAGTCCTTAGAAACTCCTTAGATTATTGCGTTGCATAGATGAACTTACTAAGTCGGCTGATGAATTTGCTGTCCGAGCAGGGAAACAAAATGATATGACTTAGCTGTCAAAATCTAATAGTTTAAAAAGGAAAAAAAAAGGGGGGGAATGAATTGCAAGAGTTAGAAGAAAAAAATAACAGCAAATAATTTAAATTTTACATGTTACAAGTTAACTTAATGATTTACTGTGATTTTTTTTTGTATAAAATACCATAGATTTTCTTAGATTCAAATTTAAAAACATAAGATTGGTTGGTTTTTATGTTAATCTTTAACATCTGTACTATGTACTTTAACAAGATTTAATCAAATATTTGAAACTGGAAAATGTATTTATGTGTGAAAGTGATAACTACATTTATTTTAGTTTAACAAAGTCAAAATTTATTTCAAAAGGGGTAGAAAAAAATATCTTATGCAAAATAAACATTTTTGCAAGTTCTTTATAATAACTGCTTTTCAATTTTAAAAAAAAAAACTGTCTAGTTATCTTTTACACAAAGTTTTTAAATTTTGGTTTCCTTGGATTTCTTCTGCTGATCTCTGTATGAACCATGTATAGGATAAATACCAAATATTTGTTTGTTGCATCTCTAATTTCATAACAGCAATTGCTGCTTATTTTTGAAAATTTAATTTTTTTTAATTATAATTTTACAGTGTTGAGCATAATCTTGTATCTATTTACAATTTANTGATCTCTGTATGAACCCTGTATAGGATAAATACCAAATATTTGTTTGCTGCATCTCTAATTTCATAACAGCAATTGCTGCTTATTTTTGAAAATTTAATTTTTTTTAATTATAATTTTACAGTGTTGAGCATAATCTTGTATCTATTTACAATTTAAAAACTCCTTGTAAAGGTTTTTTGCAATAACCGGACCCGGAATTTGCTCAAATTCACAAAAACAGGACCCTGGTTGAGAGAATCTGACTTAACGCTTAATTTATATTCATAATTTTACAAAAACCGGACCTTTCACAAACCCCTGCCCATAGTTAAGTTGAAATATAGATTATTCTTAAAGCATGTGTTCTATATTTATGAAAATGCCTAAACTAGGGGTGTACAGCCTTTTTGAGCGGAGGACCTCATGCCAAAGTATTTAGACGTTCGATCTATGCGTTAAATTAATATTTCGCTGTACATCGATTTATCGCCCAGTCCTACCCAGCACATAATCATAAATGATATAAAATAGTCTGAGTATGTAGAAAATAGTTTAAAAGATTTCTTCATGATTATCCTGTAATTTGCAAAATTTTTCAATATTATGATAATTTTATCTACTTGATCATATGTTAGGTTTCTCAAGCCATTAAATGATTATTTAATGACCTTAGAATTAGACTTAATACTATCAGCATTGGCATAACAGCCCTTTATGAGCCTGGGCCTTCCTCAGAAGCGTTTTCCCATTTTGCCCTTCTCCCAGCAATTGATTTCCAGTTCTTTACTTTTAGGATGGCAAAATCCTCATCCACACACATTCTTTCCATCTCTTTTTGGGCCTTTTATTGGAAGGGGTTGCATTAAAGACTCTTAGACTTGCTGTTCATTCTGGGCTCATTCTCACTACATGCCTGGCCCATCTCATTCTACTTAGTTTAATAGATTTAATGATATCATCACTATTAAAGATCTTATATATTCCAAAATTATATCTTTTTCTCCAGTTGTTGTTATCGAGGATAGCGCCAAAGGTGGTTCATAGGACCTTCCTTTTGAAGGTTGATAATAACTTCTCTTCCCTTTTTGTTGAAGTCCATGTCTCTGAAGCATAAGTCAAAACTGACTTGATTAATTCCTTATAAAGTAAAATTTTCGTCTGCTTTTTATTAAGTGAGATTTCAATAATGATCTTAAACCTTAGAAGCTGTGATTATTCTTTTTCTGATTTCAGGATTAATGTCATTTTGATAGTTTATTTCTGATCCTAGATAAGTAAAAAATTTTACAGATTCAAATTTTAAAAAAATATATTTCAAGCAATTTAGGGATGGTTTCCAATTTAGGATGGACTTACTACAATTTAGGATGGACTTAATACTATATGTTCTGTAATTTATAATTCTATTTTTATTAAAAATAAGAAACACTAAGAAAAAAAATTTAAACAATACACTCATCTTGAATAATTAATGCTCTAGAATCATTCCCTCACTTTATACATTAGTGAGAGAATGACAAATTTAATAAAATTAAAAAATAACAGGCTTAATTGATATCTGAAATCAATCACATACAATTATTTTAATACAAGAAAGCAACATATAATTATCCACTTTTGCAATAGAGTTATATTTTATTTTACTTTAAAACAGGGTTCATTGATTTAAATCATCTTGATTTAAATCACGATTTAAATCATGATTTAAATCAAATGATTTTTTTTTTTAAAAAATCATTGATTTAAATCAACAAATTATTTATGTATATATATATATATTGATATCAAAAGTTAAAAAACAGTGTTTTAAATAATTAATAATTTTGTTATTTTCTTTTCTTAGTTTTAAAATTTATTTTAAATGAAGTGCTGCATTAATTAATTTTAGTTAACGAAATTACTTTCATTCTTGGTGTGTGATAAATTCCAACACATTAGAAATTACATTTTTAAAAATCTTTTAATGCTTGAAATTGAAAGTACAGATTAAAGAAAACATTCAGGGCTGTCTTAATATGGACTTGCATAGCTGTAGAAAGTAATTAATAAACATGAATTTTTTTCACAAAAAAAAAATACAAATAATGTTAATTTAAATTCTGCCTTATGATTGAAAAAGCATGGAGGTAAAATCTTCATTATATTTTATTGGTGGAAAATGTATATTTCTAAAGCTTGAGGTTATATTTAAAAAAAATTCCCTTATTAAGCCAAAAATTGAAAGAAGAAAAAAAAGGCTAATGAATTCAGATATTTTTTTCTTGCTATAGTGTAATTCTTCCCTTTCAAAGTCTATTTGAAGCAGTAGGGTTATTAACTGGTATTTTTTTTCTTATAATTTGTTTACAGTATCTTTTTCTTCATCAGATTTTCTATAAAGAAATTTTGTGGGAAAAAAAATTCCAATGAGCACATAGATTTTTAAAAAAAATTTTTTAGCTTAACTCATCTATTTTGATATAGGATTTAAAATTAATATTTTAATATAAAAATATATAAATTAAATATTTATTTTTTGATGAATGACTACATTTATAAACACAATCTGATACATTGATTTTGTCATTTTAAAAATCATGAAAAAAAAGAAATTACAATTTGAAATTAAAATTATGGTTTGCTAATTGAAACCTTGTTTTAAGTATAATTTATATTTTCTATTTTATCTAATCTTTAAATTTCAATCATGCATTTGTTTCAAAATGGTTGCTATGCATTCAAAACTATGTGTTGTAATGAAAAATTATTTTAGTAAGTCAGAGCTTCTAAAATATTGTTATAATATAGTTTTAATATTAATTTAATTTTGACTAAACATTTATAAAGTTTTTTTAAACATAAATTAAAGTTCTTGCAATGCGTTCGAATAAAAATCAAAAAAATCTGATTTAAATTTAAAAAAATCTGATTTAAGTCCAAAAAATTGGATTGATTTGATTTTTTTTAATAAAATCAAAATAATCACGAACCCTGCTTTAAAAAAAAACATGAGAAAATGGGAAAACATTTTTCCTGGTTTGATGCCTTCAAATTTATTACAGGGCAGAGCCATTGAGGGAATGACATATTGAATACATTTTAATTACCTAAAATAAATGAAAATTTATAATTTTATTCTTTTGTTAACCTGCATTCTGAAAGACACTTTCCCCTAAAAAAAAATTTTTTTATCGTAAGTCGTAAACTAAACATAAAAGTATACTGGGAACATGAAAAGGACTGTTTTTGTTAGAATGGCCCATCTATATAAATAATCAGACGGCATAACATGAAATTTTTTTATTTGTTGTTACAATATTGAAAAAAAAAAACATTTATAATATCATTCATTAGAAAAACTCTGACTTAAATATATTAGGCATTGTTGAAAACACACCCAATGCTTGCTAAGCTATAAGTAATTTTAAAATGTTTTTCCTTACTTTCTTTGTAAACATTCATCTGTTATGATTATTTCTTTTGTTTTAGAACAGCAAGACCAGCAGCAAGGACGCATCAATAATTGCTTGGCGAAAAAAGAATAAATTCAAGGATCCTTTCTTAGAGTTTTTAAAGGATGCAGATTCCTTGTAAAATGTGATGTTAAGTTTTGAAAATAAACCTATTTTTCGATTGAACTTTTTTATAAGTTTTAACTCATGCCATTTTACAGTGATCGCCACAGAATAGTGCTAAAAAAAAGAAGTTAATCTTATATTTCCCCCTCCCTTCATCATAATTGATTTCTTAACAGCCCATGGTGGGCCTTGGCCTTCTCAAGAAGTTTTTTGTAGACTAACCTTTTTCCTTCTAGTGTTTTTTTAGTTTTTGAGAGCAAAAGGCTTTTCTCTAGGCGATCTATCCACCCATCCTCAAGGATTCTTTCTTAGAGTTTTTAAAGGATGCAGATTCCTTGTAAAATGTGATGTTAAGTTTTGAAAATAAACCTATTTTTCGATTGAACTTTTTTATAAGTTTTAACTCATGCCATTTTACAGTGATCGCCACAGAATAGTGCTAAAAAAAAGAAGTTAATCTTATATTTCCCCCTCCCTTCATCATAATTGATTTCTTAACAGCCCAGGGTGGGCCTTGGCCTTCTCAAGAAGTTTTTTGTAGACTAACCTTTTTCCTTCTAGTGTTTTTTTAGTTTTTAAGACCAAAAGGTTTTTCTCTAGGCGATCTATCCATCTCAAATTCGGCCTGCCTCTTTTTCGTGTGCCAACTAGCGTATAACGTGTCTGGCATTCAACACTCTTTTTGTGATACGGTTTGTGTCCCTTCTGATGGCCAGCCCCATTTTATTCTTTGTCGTTTAATGAAGTAAATAATGTCAGGTCTATTATATGAGTGAAAAATTCTTCCAAAAATACTTCTCCAGACATTTCTCACAAAGGTACTCAACATAGCCTCATCCGTACAAGAAAGGGTCCAGGTGATACGTTAAAATCGATCTTAAAAGAGGTTTATATAATAAAACTTTTGTTTTTTCTATGAATTACATTCGATTTTATGTATTTTTGAATTCCATTAAAAACATCTATTGGCTGTAGTGATTCTCCTTTGTATTTCCATTGTAATATTATTGTTCCTGTTGTTGATTACAGAACCCAAGTAAACGAAATTGTCAACAACCTCAAATTTATATTCTTCAATTTCTAAATGGTTGTTATTGAAGCTTGTTTTAAATTCTTATTCAAATTTATTTCGTGTTGCGATTTAAAGCGAAGGATTCGATGTAAGCAGGGCTGATTGTGCTCCGGAAAAAGTACGGATTTCCGGATTTTTCGTTGACAGTGAGCCGGAAGTTTCCGGAGATCAAAGGTCCAGACGTTTTAAATAATCATTGATCACAGAAGTTTCCGGAAATCAAATTTTCAAAGGTGGCATTTAAAAACACAGTTTATTTTATTTGTTTGTAAGGGGGAGCCAGAGAGATACTTTATAGGCTTATATTCATGATTAATATTCATTTTTATCAGTTAATAGTTGTTATAATCATAAACTCAAGAAAGAAAGACATATTTGTAAATTTTAATTACTTCTCCAGGTCATCATAGGTATGTGTAAAATTTTAAATAAACTAAGAAATATTGAGAAAAAGGAAAAAAACCTTATTTAAATGTTTTTCAATTTAAACTGTTTTTTTTTTTTTTTTTTAAACTCAAGAAATTTTCCGGAATTTTGACTTGGACTCGCAATCACCCCTGTGTAAGGATTTAAATCCATTCAGCCAAAATAGCTGCTCTTGCAACTCAGAGTTCAAACAGGGTGCACCTGGAAAGTCATGAATTTCGGTATTGAACAAAATTTGTCATGAAATGTCATGATTTTAACTATTTTTCTTTAAAAAAAAACATGAAAAGGATTTAGGTGTTGAAAAATTTTATTTTTGGAATGGGATTCCTCTGCCCCCCCCCCCNTGGTGTTCCGGATATCTGAATTTGTAACAAAATCCCCACTCACAGTCATATTTTATTAAAATATAAATTTTTTTTTATCCTGTTCTTTAAAAATTATGGTGTTCTTTCAAAAAATGAAGGAAAAAATATCATTTCTTTCGTTTTAAACTTCTGTGATTTCAGAATTATTATTATTTTTATTTTATCAATTTAAAATTCTAGCGTAAGCAAGCTAGTCATTGGCAATTTTTTTTTCTGAAATGAGAATAGGAAAATCAGGAGTATTTCTTTTCTTTCTGATGAACAAGAAAATTATCTTTAGAATATAATTCAAGGAAGAAGAAAAAATTATTTGCTCAGCTATTATTTTTTCAGCTCTTTTATTGCTTCAACTCTGTTCATTACTCTGTTTTTTAAATTTAAAATATGAAGATGCAGAGTATAACAGTTTTGGTTATGCCTATAATTTCAATGAATGTTATTTATAATACTGTTTTAAATTTATTGTTGTGTTTTTGTCAGAGAAAATAGTAACTTCGTTAAGGCATGAAAAACTCTTGAAATTGAACTCATGAAAAGTCATGAATTTGAAAATCTAAAATGTAGCAGATACCCTGTATATAGAAAATTCCCCTGCTTCGGTAGCCCGACAATCAGAGCACAAAGTCGAGCTCTTTATGATAGAAGAGTTTAACCAGGACCGATACCCTCGGTCCCTACACTGGCTGATCAAAGTGGTCACCCGCCTGCTTTCTGACTGCAACCTGTTTTAGCGAAAATTTCAATGTAGTGAATATTTTCCCCATAAACAATGAATTAAAAATACTAATATTAGGAAATTTTTAAGCAGATGTAATGGAGGTGAAAATAAGCAACAATTCTAATTTTCTATCATGATCAAAACACTTTTCCATCCTTCAGGGATGAGATTTTCGCCTTTGTCTTTTTAGCAAAAACTCCGATTTTCTAAAAGTTTATATCATTTTTTTTTCCTTTTTAATCGTGTTTTCACATTTTTGAGCATTGAGAAACATCGGAACTCTATGGATAGGACACACATCAACTGGTTTCAGGAGACGAGCTCGATCCAATGTCAACATTCCACTAGCGATGAGGTACAGGTACTTGAAAAGACAACCTCATCCTTCCTTTCCTTCTACGCTTTTTTCACCGCAGAAATTTTTTTTCCCCTGGTGGGTGATGGGATGGGGTCACAGCCGGTCTCCGCTAAGCTTAGTTTCTGAGATAAAAATGTTTCCTCCAAAGGGATTTCTCAGCGAAGCTAATATCCTGCTTGGCTTATAATAACAGGACTACATACCTGTTATCATTGGTGTATTCATCTTAAGAAATGCAGTCAAAACCATAATAAGTTATCAAAAGGTTTATTAAAAGTTAGGCTGGTGGTTAGAACAGTTCACATCCGCACNGGGAGGGGGTGTGGACAAGACTCCGGATGGTTCCGGCAGATGTTTATTGGAACACGTTATTCAGCAAGAGACATGCGAAAACCTTCGGTTAAATACTACGGAGAATGGTGTAATTAGGTTCTAGTCATACATACCTTTGAACTCTACGCATTATGGAAAATCATTTAATGCTTCCTAATATGGAAGTGAAAGAGAGAGAAGATTTTAAAAATAACTCCTCCTTTGAAATATAAATCTAATTATTATTTCATGGTATGTTTTCAGCCTTGAATTCCCAAAATAGAATCTCTCTACTCTTACTCTTTAACAAAGACATTTTATGAAACCGAAAGAGTTTTAATTCTTTTATTAATACAAAAGTATTTATAATTTTTGTATTACATTTATATATATATATATTCCGCTTTTTCTGAAAACTCGGTCGTTGAAATAAAATAATTGGATCTATTTCCGATTTGATTATAATATATCGAAAGATATATAGAAAATTCAAACTACGTAGCTGCCGACCCTTCCGCGTATCCACTTATTTCAGCTATTAACTTTTAAGAGCAGAAAATAAGATTTTTCTCATTTTTACCCATCCCCTAGATAGCTTGTATTTTTGTATTTACCTGATTTAAAAGTTGCGCGTTACGATTTTTATTCATGTAATTTCAATATCGTTCATTGCAATTATTACTTACGAGATTTAAAATTCCATTATCGCGATTTGTATTGAGGCATTTTTAAAATTCTATGTAACGACTCATATTCACGCTAGTTTATCTAATGTCGGGATTCGTTTTTACGGTTGAAATATCAACATCTATTTTCGTATTTAAAAATCAGGCTTTGGATTCGTTTTCACGCCATTTAGAAATTATGCATCGTAGTTCGTATTTACGCTATCTGAAAATTACCCATCGTGATTTGTTATTTTCACATTTTTGAAATCCAATATCGAATTCCATTCATATGATTTCAATATCGGGATCTATATTCACGTGATTTTAAAATCCAAAATCGCTATTTGTGTTCGCGCAATTTTAAAATCCTTTATCGCTAATGCAAAGACTGTTGTGTAGTGAGTTCAACCAGAATAACTGCCAATTCAAATTTCAAGAAAGTAACCTAAAATTTTAAATCTTTGAAAGTTTGCAGTTACTTCAACTATCATTAAATCATAACTACAGACACTCAAAAACATAAATTTATTAATCTATACATGCATTTTAAATAAATTACTAAGCCAATTAACTCGATATATATGTTAATTTATTAATATGATTGCTTTGCTACTTTTAGTAAAGTAAAAAAATTCTTTCACTAATTGACAATGTTATTTAATAGAACGTGTGAAGTCCATAGAAAGCCTTTTTAGTCCATGCCTTTTTAGAATAATAATGCCCTTTTTTTAAACGTTTGCACCCTGCCCTTTTTTCTGCCTAGAAGAGCTCTGTATGTTTGTAAAAATAAGAAAAAAACATTTCTTAGACATGAAACACAGAAAAGGTTTTATTTTCAAACACTAAAGAAAAATGTCTACATTATAACAACTATAGTCTGTTTTAGAAATTGCTAATTACAAAAGCCATTTTCTGCTGCGTTATTAGAGTAGCCAAAAATACTTGAGCTGCGGCACTGATAAAGATGGGTCGGGGAATCTTTAGAATAAACTTTAACCATAACTGATAGACTTCTCTAGGAGCACGTCCTAGTGGAGGAATAGGATATGTGAGTAACTTATCAGCAATATAGAAGTTAACAGTAGGAGCCATCAATAGTGGATAGATCAGTCCTACACCCAGCTGTAAGTAGGATGCTTTTGTTAGAATACACAATGGACAGCGATCAGCACTGAGGATATTTGAGTTAATGATACCACTTTGAACAACAAAGCAAGCAGCTGTAGAAAGGCCGACGACCGGTGTGTAGCAAGTAAGTTTTGAATAGTGTCTAAGTTTGAGTTGTTTGCGAAAGAAGTAGCTTATGTAGAAAGAAGTCAAAGCGGCACTGCCACATAGAATATCATCACCGTGCTTAAATGACCACCTGAAAAAGAAACAATTTAAATTTAATGTTTTTTCTCTTAAAAAAAATATCTTCTAGATGTAACTTAGCCAAGTGAAAAATAACCCCAAAACAAAAATGTAGTCAAATTTGCATAGAAAGAGTTGCCACTCCACAGGGAATTTTAAAAATCACCTGAAATAACAGGGAATTTTGTTTTGTATAAAATGGTTACCACTCAAGGCGTAATCTATGCAGGATATCCGCAACACCTGGAAAGTCATGAATTTCGGTATTGAACAAAATTTTTCGTGAAATGTCATGATTTTAACTATTTTTTTAAAAAAAAAATCATGGAAATAGCTCACCGAATTTTCAAAAAGGATTTTGCCCCTCCCTCTAAATTCATAGTGTTCCGAATATTTGAATTTGTAACAAATCCCCACTCTCAGTCATCTTTTATTAGAATATAAAATGTTTTTATAATGTTCTTTAAAAATGATGGTGTTCTTTCAAAACATGAAAAAAAAGAACATTTCTAGAGTGAATTATCTTTTAAACTTCTGTGATATCAGAATTATATTATTATTTTTTTTTTATTGTATCAATTTAAAATTCTAGCTGAAGCAAACCAGTCATTGGCGAATTTTTTTTTTAATTCCAGAAGGAGAACAGAAAAATCAGGAGTATTTCTTTACTTTCTGATGAACAAGAAAATTATCTTTAAATTATAATTCTGCAGGAAAAATTTTTTTTTGCTTTTGTATTTTTTTCAGCTATTTTATTGTTTCATCTTTTTTTTTTCTCTGTTTTTTAAATTTATAAATATGAAGATGCAGAGTATAACTGTTTTGGTTATACCTATCATTTCAATGAATGTTATTTATAATACTGTTTTAAATTTATTGTTGTGTTTTTGCCGGGAGAAAATAGTAACTTTGTTAAGTCATGAAAAGTTCTTGGAATTAGTCACGAATTTGAAAATCTAGAATGTAGCAGATACCTTGTCTATGGGATATTTAACCACAATATTTTAGCTATACTAAACTATTTCATTTACTATAGCATTATTTAAGAATGTTCAGCTGTTTTTTCCAGCAATTAAAAACTAATAAATATAGTTAGTCCACTATAGCTCACACAAGAGCACAGTAATTGTTGTTTTTCCTCTTAGTTTTGTTATGACCTTATTTTAATATGCCACATGGTCAAATTTATTTTTATGAGTAAATCTTGATAATTGAGTTAATCATCATTAAAATTGCTTAAGTAAAATATATAACTTGTGATCATTATTTCTAGACATATATTTTTATGTTACTTTATTTGTATGTGTTGGTGATGATTTGGGATAGGCCTTAGTTGTAAAATGCATTAGTACTAAATTTGGCAATTATCCCACTATACTTTACCCAAATTGTCACCACAATATAGTGTGAATAATATGTACAGGGAATTTTTGTTTTACTGATTTGAGTGGCAATCCTGATAAAAGATGTTAAAAATAGTATAAAAAATATCTCAAATTAATCTCGCACAATATATATAAAACTTCTAAAAAAAGATTGAAAAAATTTCACATACAGGGTATCTGCTAAATTTTAGATTTTCAAATTCGTGACTTTCCACGACTAATTCCAAAAGTTTTTCATGACTTAACAAAGTTACTATTTTCTCCGAACTAAACACAACAATGAATTTAAAAAAGCATTAATTGAAATGATAGGTATAACCAAAACTGTTATACTCTGCATCTTCAGATTTATAGATTCTAAATTTAAAAAACAGTAAAGAAAGAGTTAAAGCAATAAAATTGCTGGAAAAAAAACAAAAGCAAATAATTATTTTTTCTGAAGAATTATATTCTAAGGATACTTTTCTTGCTCATCGAAAAGGAAAGAAATACTCCTGATTTTTCTGTTCTCATTTCGGAATGAAAAAAATTCAGGAATGACAGGCTTGCTTCAGCTAGAATTTGAAATTTATAAAATAAAAAAACTAAATAATAACGAAAATTCTGAAATTACGGAAGTTTGAAAAATAATTCGCTCTAGAAATGATATTTTTCTTTCATTTTTTGAATGAATACCATAATTTTTAAAGAACAGGATAAAACATTTAATATTTTAATAAAGGGACTTTGTTACAAATTCAGATATTCGGAACACCATGAAATGGGGGAGGGGGTTAAATTCCAATTTAAAAAATCCATGACATTTTCATGACAAATTTTGTTCAATTCAATACTGAAATCCAGGTGCACGCATACCCTGCACATAATTTAACTGATAAAAAAAATGTTGTGTGGGGAATCGACGACAATGCAACTTCATCTATGAAAAGGTACCCCCTTGTAGAATCGAGTTAACATGTCCTATACCAGTGAATTGGTATTGTATTTTTGTAGTGGTAGATACGCTACAGTACCCCCCCCACACCAGAATTATATCTGTGATAGAATTCAATGAATGGATATCACTAGTTGCATCATTGCTGTATTGTGAGAGAAACCGGAAGAGCTGTATTAAGTTCACTGTCGTGGTTGTGCCTGTGTTGCCATTAGCAGTCGAGTGTATGCAGGCCAACGTTGTGTGAAATCGAGACTGAGTAGCAATAGAACAAGGAGGTGGATACTGTTGCAGTCACAAGTAGCAAGTCAACTTTTTAATGTGGACCATTCATCGAAGTAGGCGTGTTCAACTCTAAGAGGAAGTTTCTGTCAAAGTAGGCGTATTCATATCGAACTGTGCATTTCTGTCAAGGCATGCATGTTCACCGGGTCACCAATGTGGTGATAGGGTTATCGACGACAATGTCAACCTTTATCTATGAAAAGGTACACCACCATAGAATCGAGTTAACATGCCTTATATACCAGTGAATTGGTATTGTATTTTTGTAGTGGTAGATACGCTACAGTTGTTTTAGCCAATTCAAATGGAAAATTAGCACCTGTTCACACTTCATTTTCAATAATAGGACCTAATTATGGGGTATTCTTTAAGAGAAAAAACAGATAGTATGGCAGTAAATGAGTATAGGGAGTAGAAGAGCATTGGTATAAATGCTATAACAATAGAAGGAATTTTTTGACTTGTACACATGTATCAGCCACAAGCATACGGTTAAAAGAATGATTAGGACAATTAGTCAAATTCTTAAAAAGATTTTGAGTTGCTAAAAATATTCAATCTTTCTAGCGTAATAAAATAATTAAAATGTTTTAATGTTGTATTATCATACATGCAGATGAATTTGTAGTGTATCTACCACTACAAAAATACAATTCACTAGTATAGAAGACATGTTAACTTGATTCTATATTGGGGTTCCTTTTCATAGATGAAGGTTGACATTGTCGATAAATACACTCCCACATTGGTGAACTCCGGATGTGATGTGAAAACGCCTATCTTGACAGAAACTCCCACTTCGAAATGAACACACCTATCTTAAGAATAACACTCACTTCGATTTGAACAGCCCTACTTCGATGGATGGTCCACATTGAACAATTGACTTGCGACATTATCCACCTCCTTGCGCTGTTGCTACTCAGTCTCAATCACACACAACGTCAACCAGCATACACTCGGCTGCTAATGGCAATACAGGAGCGACCATGAACTTAATACAGCTCTCACGACCAGCAAAAGTACAATGATCCTAATACAGCTCTCCCGGTTTCTCACAAAATAGCAATGAATCAACTAGTGGTATCCCATTCATCGAATTCTATCACAGATAAAATTCTGGTGGGGGAGTACTGTAGTGTATCTACCACTACAAAAATACAATTCCAATTCACTAGTATATAAAGACATGTTAACTCGATTCTATATTGGGGTACCTTTTCATAGATGAAGGTTGACATTGTCGTTAATCACTATCCCCACAAATTCGTTCATATTTAGATGCTATAAATTAGACAATGTTAAAAAACTGTTTATATTTTAAATTTCTTTATTTACATTAAAGATAGAAATAGCGTCTGAATATTTTTGTGACTGCACCTTTGGAAATGTTAGACGTATGAAATGCATTATATCTAACACTTATTGATTCCAGAAAAATTGGCAAATTTCATATTTTTAAATGTAGTTTGTTTCATCAGATTCTGCATTTTATAAACATTTAGCCAGGAACATTAAAAAATGTCAAATAAGCAACAGTAGGTATAGAATCCAGTCAATTGTTGATTTGCACAATTACATCCTTTGTTATTGCATAACATGATTAACTTCACATAGTTTCCTTACATTGTTTATTTTTTCCTCAATTTTTCAAAAAATATATAGATATTGAACATGGTAACTTATTAAATCTGGTATCTTATTAAATTAGGGCTCTAAATTTAACTGTACTGAATGTTAAAACACAAATAAGAAGAAAAAAAAACACAAAACAAAATATAGAATACAAATATGCAGATTATAGGTATTATGTTTCTCTTATTTCAAATTCTTATTTATTGTAAGAATTCTTTTGTAAATAATACAGTTTTGTATTTTCTGCCTCTTAGCAGAACACAAGAAAGGCAAAAAATGCATTAAAAAACTTGTGATATTAGTTTATGTAAATATTTAATACCAAATTAAAATAATTCTATAATATATATTGCAAGGGCAAAGTGAAAAACATATGGATTGTACATTCATTATTTATTCAAGACATTTTAAAGAGTCGCAGAGCTTCAAATCGCACCACGAAATCGGTGTGCTAGAGCACTTATCTTAGGATAAGTAACACAAGTTAGTCTCTATAATATGTTACGCCTTATGGAAAAAGGGAAACCTTTAGGCATTACAACTGGTCCATTAAACGTGTCGAGGGAATAACATGGTTCTCACAGTTAGTGAAAAGAAAACTTTAAAATGTTAATTCCTGCGTACTTGAATCCGAAAAGAGAAGTGAATAATTAAGTGTGAGAAAATGTTGAATAACAAATAAAGGAGAACTTGGATAAATGTTGTCATTCCCAAGGAAGGATTGCTATGTTTTTTTTTCTTTTTACTACCGCCAGATGGCGTTCTTTTTTTATG